GCCATATTTTTGTGTCAACGTTGTAACAAGTCACACAGTAAATCGCTCGATACGAAAAATCACCAGCTTTGTTCAGTGGAGGACTATAGAAGAGAGAGTAGGAGTCTGATTGTATGTCCGTCGCATTCAGACGAGGAAGTCGTTTTTATGTGCAAACAATGTGAAATTCCCGTATGTACAGAATGCGTGGAAAGTACATCTCTTCACGGAGACCACGAGTATACGGAACTGTGCACTGGAATGGACGCATTTGTCGACACAAATAAAAAAATAATTCAGGAAGCTAAAACGAAAGTGACAGAATTGAATATAAATTTGGAGGTTATGAAAAACTTGAAACTAGAGTTGGAAACAAATAAAGATTCGACCGCACAGGAGATAATGAATCAGTTGGACACTTACCTCAAAGCTATGTGGGAAGCGGGCCAGCAATTGGTGGAGGCCTCAAATTTGAACTTCGACCGCAGTATCTCTAGTTTGTCGTCTGCAATAAACTATGGAACGGAAATTCGGGAAAAATTGGACGAAATGTCGTCTTTAAGTGACGATTTATACCAGAGTGGCGACAGCTCGTCCCGTTTTTTCCTTGCACGACAGTGCATTGGCCGATTGAAGAATTTGTTGAAAACTTCGGATGTCAGAATCCCAGCAGACGACATGATCAGTGCAAAGTTCGTTGCAAATGATGAGTCTCTCAGAAACGTTTCAGGGGAACTAATTGGGTCAGTTAACACTGTTGAAATTCGGTTTCCTGAAAATTTTGACAGTTTGGTAGTTGAAGTTCCCATTGAAACCACCACGGCACATGAAATCGCGGTGTCCCCAGTTACTGATTTGGGAAGTGCAGAAACACGTACGGAATGTGCCCAGAAGACTGTAAAGTCAGTTGCGCCACTCACAGAAATACAAATAGAGCACGAAAATGATATTGCAGTGACTTCTGGTGAGCATATTTCTCCAGCTTCGTCATTGTCCATAAAAACGAAAGAACATGTCTCCAGCGTCGCTGCTATGGCAGGTGACTGTGAAATTACTACAGACACTGGGGGAGCCATTCAACCAGACGCCCGACAAGAACCGGAGCCAATTGAAAACCCGGAGTCAGTTGTAAGTGAAAAGGTTAAGAGAGAAGTTAAGAGACAAGTCGGCGTTCAAGTTGAAGGAATTCGACGTGTAGAACACGTACAGACTGGGCGACTCGGAAGCAACGGTACGAAAAAGCTAAGTACGCACGCAAAATTGACAAAAACGACACGAGAGACGCATGAGCAGGCAGAAGATTTCAACTTTTATGTTCCAAGCGCCAGAGATCGGAATAGCATGGTTCAACAGAGCGTGCGAGAGGAGATGGACCTTGGCGCAAGCAGCGGAGTGGAATTTCAAGAACCTCATGGTATCGCCATAGCAACAAACGGATACGTTGCCATAGCAGACACGGGCCGATGTGAGGTTAAACTTTTCAACAGGAAAAACAATCTTGTTCGAAGTTTCAAGATTAAACGAAATATATTTTCTTCGAGCAAATGTTGCCCGTTTGATGTGTCGTTCATCGGGGTTGATAAGTTGGTTGTTACTGACAGTGAAAATGATGCTGTATACATCTGTAATCTTCATGGCAAAATATCGAAACAAATCAACGACGAAAAATTAAAGAAACCGAGAGGAGTTGTAGTTGACGCGCAAGGGAGAATTCTGGTGGTTGATGGAGGAAACCGTCTCTTGAGAGCTTACAACAGCATTACAGGTGACGAAATTCCAGAGTTCGGCTTGAACGCACGCGCAGATACAGATGGTGCTTATTTGCAAGAGCCCTGGTTTATATCCGTAGATGGCGCTAACAACGTTTACGTAACAGACAGCAGCACTTCGGGTATTCAAATCTACGACCAAAACGGACATTTTATCCGCCGCGCTTACGTAAAACGAAGCGTGTACTCCGAAGAAAATATCAGCCCCAGAGGAATTTTTGTTGATAAGCAGGGGAATATCTGCATCACGCGATACGACTCGGGTCGGGTTTATGTATTCAATTCGGACAGGCGGTATCTTTTTGAATTTGGTGAAAGTTGGCAGAATTATTATTCGTTAGTCGTTAATACGGAGGGTTCATGGTCGGCTTATATTACCGATAAGGCTGGCAGCTCTGTGTATGTATTTCAGAATGCTGACGAAAAAAGTTAACTGGCTACAATACTACAGCGAATTTCATGATGGCGTGAATTTGTTTTATGGACATTTATAAAATATTTTCCGCAGAAGATCTTTCATTCAAATAAATTCCAAACAAGATGTCCATTACCCATGAGTCTTTGAGGGTTTCTTTCAGTCATATGGCCGATTTACGGCCATGTATCCTGAACACGTGGCGATTGGTCTAGTGGTTTTCAACCATCATTTTAATTTTATAAAACATTTATAAACATTGATTAACACACTCCCTTCGCCATTTTTAAAAATATTTATGAATTTCCCATTCAAACTGAAAGGAGAGGTTTCTACTGACCAATTGAATAACATTGGATCATTGTGACAATTACGTCATAAAGTACAGCGCTTATTGATTGGCCGATCGGATTCAACTGCCATTAGAATTTTTAAATATTTATAAAAATGAAGAGAACGGGTTTGTTGTGTAGATAGTAAACTACTACGATGGAGGAATAATATCCAATCATACGTAAACAAGGCCATTCTTCGCAGCGAACAGTGTGGGTTTCTGTATCACATGACATTTTGTCCGACTATGTCATCAAATCTGTGACATATACCTACGTTTGCCCACAACCAGTTGAAAATGCAATGCGGATAACTTTCCCGACGTCTGAACTTAAATATTGGACCCACGCACAAGAAAAAAACACCAAACTTGAGCGAAATAGTATAAGCGACATTTAGAATCAATGTAATCCATGGCCCAAAACAACAGAAAATGTTAAAAAACAAAATGATTTTTTGTTTTTACAAGTGTGTTTGGATACAACTACTATCGGCACAACAAACCCGTTCCTTTCATCTTTATAAATTTCATCAGCCAATCAACAAGCGCAGTGCACCGTGACAATGACCGTGACGTCATTTGAAAACATCTCATTGTTATTCAATCGGCCGATAGAAACCTCGTTTTAGTTAGAATTATGAAATTTATAAATATTTATAACGATGAAGGAAACAAAAGATGGATTAACGTTGTAAACAACATAAACAATAGTCTCCCATGATCCCTGGGTTTGGCAGGTTCCCCTTTGTCTAGTGTCTCTCATGAACAATTATTGTATGATTTTCACAAAATAAAAACCTTTGTTCTGGCAACAGTATTCGATTGATTATATACTGAAAAACTATATGCATCCCGAATTTACATATATGCGAGGAGTCGTCACCTGCGCATGCGCCAGATAGCCATAAGCGTGCCATTGTTTACAAACAAGCGTATACCCATGAGCCTTTGCGTTTTATCGTGTGTTGTTATCGTCGCTTGGGACTCAATTCCCGCGCGTGCGCAGGTGACTACTCTCTCGCTTTATGAACTCGTTTTAAACCTATAC